AATAAGTATGAAATTCAAACTACCTGAAATCTAAAATAATGTGGGTTTGTGTGAAGTTCTCATGCTCCCTGGTGTGAGCTCCACATTTTCTTTTTGTTGGCAAAGCTGATTAACATGATGCATGTTTTGCAGGCAGATACATAACCCAGACAACTACCTGGCCATGATGTGAGCCATGACTGGGAAAGGACTCTTTCACTTTTCAAAGACAGATATAACAGCCACATAGTCAAATGCATGCATACCTGCTTCCTATAAACTTGTGGTGTGAAATGAGGATGCAGGGGTTTTACATGGCTACAGATCCAACTGGTTACAGATGTAATCAGAGCTTAGAGCTTTCCATATTTTATCATCCAGGTATAATTTTGCTTGTTCACATATGTCATCATATCATGGCTGGGCTTCGCGAAAGAAGATTTGGGAAGGGCTCTATCCACATTTGTTACAGGCACGTTGGTGACTTATGAGGCCAATACTAGACAGACATATCCGATTGCAAAAGGCACAGCAGAAAGACTCCTTAGATGGTGTACTCTGCAAGACACGGTTCTTTCTGCATTGCCTTTTCTCCTCGAGAGTGATCCTGTGTGTGTTCTCGAAGGAGACAGCTGCGTTATAGATGGCGTGTCTCCAGGCCTCCCGATTTGAGGCCAGAGTAGACCAGTTATGTTGATCAATATGGCCAAGGTTGAGATGTTGTTTCAGGGAGTCCTTGTATCTTTTCTTCGGGGCTCCTCTCTTGCAGCAGCCAGTGGCAAGTTCACCATAAAGCAAGATCTTAGGGAGGCGGTGGTCCTTCATCCTTGAGACATGTCCTGCCCAGCACAGCTGTGTTCTCATCAACATGGCCTCTATACTTGTGACTGCTGCTTGCTGTAGAACAGATGTATTGGTCACATAATCTGACCAGTGGATGTTTAGGATTGTACAGAGGCAGCGTTGATGGAAGCGTTCTAGGAGACGCAGGTGGTGGTGGTAGATGACCCATGATTCGGAACCATATAAGAGAGTAGACAGCACTATGGCTCTGTAAATACTGATCTTGGTACTTTTCTTCAGGTGTTTATTACGCCATACTCTTTTGTGGAGTTTTCCAAAAGCACTGTATGCCTTTGCTAATCTGTTGTCTATCTCTCCGTCAATCTTACCATCCGAGGAGATGAGGCTGCCTAGGTAATTAAACTGTTGGACTGATTTGAGTTCTGATTGGCCAATGGTGATGTGGGGATGATGGGGGACTTCCTGAGGTGCAGGTTGATGGAGGACCTCTGTCTTCTTTAAACTGACTTCCAGCCCAAAGAGCTCAGCAGCATCTGCAAAGCAGGATGTTAAACGCTGCAGAGCTGCTTCTGTGTGGGCAACAAGGGCGGCGCCATCAGCATAAAGCAGCTCCCGGACAAGATGGTTTAAGGTCTTGTTCACATATGTAAAAGGTTGCTAACCCCTGTGAAGCAGTTAGTAAACTATTTAAAATACATTAAAAATACACTTGGAATATAAAAAGTGACCAGATTAAGTTTTCCTTCCACTGTTTGAAATCAGTTGAGAACCAGGCATGCTTTGGTCTTTCAGCGCTGCACAAGCTCATGTTTGGAAAATTATTTGGCCCTCTCTATTAGAGGGTCAGTAGGGTGTGCAGTACCACTGTCCCTTTCCTGCAGCTAAGACCAGTGCATGGAACATGATTTTTCTAAAAACAAATCAAGTCTCTCCCCCATTTACCTGGAAGAAGCTTGTTTTGAATGAGTACACAACTTGTCTGTGATGCTTCAGGGCTTGGGCCCAGTACCCAGGCAGTGGGACCCTCATGGCCAGCCCTGTCACATGCTGGGGATATGTCATGAGGCTGATGTGATGGTCTGGCATTGCTTCCTTGACCTGAATAACATCTGCTCTCACCTGAATTCACATTTGAGCATGACACATGTTGTGGGCACCAAAGTCAGTGTTCGGTGAGTCATTGCCACCATTTTTCTGCAGAGAGATATTTAGGTGCAAACGAGGCCTGATTCCGCAAACTTATGATGCTTAACAGCAGGGACAGGTGAAGGTATTGTGGAGTAGATATCTTTTACCTTTGTACTGAGTAAATTGAAAGACCACTGTGTGGTGAACAAGTTCAGCAGCAAATACGACCTCAAGTGATGTAGCACTGATGTTTGTTTCCTGTGGACCTGTAACTTACCCCTGTGCAAGGTTAATACATTCTGCTTTGGACAGGTGCTGAGCTGATCCCACTGACAGACACCTGGAGGAGCTTGAACAATTTTATAGGAATTTATCTTTTTACTCTTTATGGCAGGAACTGGGAAAAGTCAGTTAAGAAAATTACTTCAGAATATTCTGGTGTCTTCTAAGACACTTTTTCATCACACTGGCAATTCCTTCTGCCCTGGAGAAGGAATGGGTGTCATTTCTTGAGGTTATACCGTGCTCCTTGTCCTGCAGCTGAACTGCCAGCTGAGTCCCCCGGACAGGCCAGTAATTGGCTGAGTGCATATCAGGTTCCATTCCACCCCCCTTTGTGAACACAAAGGCTGGGAAGTAGCCAAGGCAAGAAAGTGAACAGCAAAACACAGCTGACATGAATGGCATAATAAACAAAAGCAGATGTGCCTCTCCACATAGTCAGTGTGAGGGAGGTGGGAGCAAAGTGTGTTTCAACAACAAAAGAAAACTGTTACCTGAACACAGGAGGATTTGCAGACAAAGAAAGATACTGTCAGTGATGGTTAGTGAAGTCACATTTGCAGATCACAAGATACCAGCTGTGAGGAAATGGCTGTTGTGAGTATGAAACCCACACAACAGCCCAAAAAAAATGACAAAAGCATGATGTCCAAGTTCAAGTCTTCCAAAGAAATATCGTTGGCATTTGGGCTGGCAAACCCAAAGTGCTTCACAAATCTATTAGATGGATCCAAGTTCACTACTGCTGTGCCACATACTGTGTACTTGCAGATGAAGAAGTTTTTTGGATCCAGACCAGAGGGAAACAATGTAAGAAATTAAACATGGTTTAAATTTGAATGAGTGTCAAGTGCAGATGATGGCACTCTTGAAATTCAAGATGCCTCAATGCTTTAGGTATGCCTGGCTTATGGGTTGTTATAAATCTGCTGTTGCTATAATGTTAAGACCACTGTGAAAGTACTGGCCTCTGTATTCATACACAGAGTATTCTCTGCATGTTTTAGTGGTAACAAGTGGAATGAGAATGGATATTTTTGATCACACCTAAGACAAAGATTGCACTGAGCTAAGAGTTTTACCTACCAGTTTCACATATCACCCTCAACTACTAAGAAACCCAAACCTTTCCTTTCTAAAGATAGACTTTGGGTGAGAAAACTTGATGGGTAAGGTGACTTTCCAAGGTTATTTCAGTGTCAGAGCTGAAGTTCCTAACTGTAGTTATATCTCATATCTAAATATCCTTTACATTAAGTCCCTCAGTGCTGCTGGCAGCAGAGTGCATTAGATAAATCAGAGTATTCAGAAGAAAGAGAATTACTTTAACAAGATAAAAGGTTTTGCAATACCTGTACTTAAATGACAACAAGAATTAATAAAATATTGGGGTTTAGATGTCAGAATTAACAGAGGAAGATGATATATTCACATTTTATATTGAGCTTTTCGGGTTTTAGGAGTAAACTTTTCCCTTCCACAGGGAAGTTGGTGAAGGCTATGAGAGCTGTCCTTTGACTGTGTTTTGGTGTAAATAAAAGGTCTTTGTTCTTCATTTGCACATCATGGTCAGATACTTGGTCACAAAAGGGATTTCTAAGCACTACATACAGGTGAAAGAATAAATGTTCTCCTTTGTAGGTTCCTAAAAAGATTTTTTTCTTGGCTCATATGCAGGATTATGCACCCATATTTTGGTATTAACCATGTGTGAAACTGCAAACTTGCGTTTACTGATGTTTTAGCAGATCATCAGGGATGCAAAGAAGTATCCATAAGATAATCATTATAATATTAATAGCAAAAGTGTTAATTCACATCTTGAGGAGCCCTATATCATGGTCATTATTCATGACAGATGTTTCCAGTTGAGTTGTAACTAAAACAAGAGAATTTTTTTTTCAATGCTACCTATCCAGAATTAAATAGTTTTTTATTATTGTAATGTGGAGATAAGATGCAAATGAAGAGTTATAAACAAAAAACACCTGTTTATATGCATTCAGAATTCACTCTGCATTTTTATTTAGGTTCTTTAAGGAGCAGGAAAAATGGTTTTTCAATTTTTTTTCCAGTATTATTCTGGAAAGCTCACAGTTTTTTCATAAAACTTTTCCACTTTTTTTCTTTGCTTGTTTATTCCTTACATTCCTTTAATGCCAAATGGCATTTTTCTTTACTAATGGCACTGTAGTCCTAAAGACCAGGAACAGCAGTAAGTTTATTAAAAATTAAAAAGAGCCTCTGAGGTAAAATATGCAAGATATGCTTGACTGTGCTATCAATGATTTTGAAGTTGTTTTTTTAGTTTATTTATCCATGTGCTAATATATTTTCATAGCACCTGCAATATTCAAACCAGATGACATAGAGTATAGGTTTTCAGGCCAGGGGGTATATGTTTCATAAGAAAACACAATAAACTGAATGAAGAAATGAAAGAAAAACATCAAGAAAAAAAAGAAGAATTATGATTTAAGCTTGCTTTTTTGGGGATAGTTGCTGTTGTTGCAACTAAATTACCAACACAGTTGATCATCAAGAGAATTAAGGTATTGTGTAGTTGTTTAAGTTGAACTCACCAGGCTGAAACACTTAACACAGTCAAAGAACTAAAATGTAATTAGAATAAGATGTGACATCATACACATTCATATGATTTAAGGAATAAATAAGTTTACATCTACAGTGCTGAGATTTATGATGCAAATGTTTAAGTTTCTGTTTTACCCCTGGAAAGAAAGAAGCCCCATGCATTCTAATAAGAACACTGAAGTCGGAACAGCAGTCTATATACTCAGAGAATTTATTCATAATAGATAATGCTAGGAACTTAATTCCAAAACTTACTTTAAGAAGAATCAGCCCACAAATTGGTAAAATATTATATATATTACAGTGCAGGAACTTATTATTTATGAGCATAAATAACAGAGGAAAGATTGCACCTGTGACAAAAATTTTGTTTAGCTAGTAAAAGAGCAAATTGCTGTTGAATCACTGATGCAAAAGCAACCAGGGAAGAAAAAATTATTTGTTTAACATAATTGTAACTTATCTGTGAGCTAAACTGCAGTATGTTTTTGTAATGTAGTCCAAATAAATGGTTTGTGTTGGTGTTCAACAGGTGACAACTAGATAAAAAACCTACCTTGAAGTTTACAATACAGCAAGAAGATGACAAGGCATTTGCATGAGTAAAGGTGAAATATACCAAGATTTATTAAAAGTTTAGATATAATGGATGCATGTGTCCTATTCTTTATGCTCCTAGATAAAAAAAATTATCTGATCACGGCTATGTTTACTGTTTCTTTTAGTGCAGGCATAAATCTTTGCAACTCCTCATTAATATATTCAAACTTTTTTCCCTTTCTACTTAAAATGTAGGTAATATTTCCCAGAGGCTGTAATGTAATATTTAATTAAGTTATTTACTTTTATTCAGAAATTGCAAACTATCTAAATCACAACCCTCTAGTCAATACTTAAACAATAAAAAATTAAATTTAATAGTAATTTTATACATACATATATAAGTCTAAAATATGTACTTATATACTAAGAATAATTCCTTGGTGATGATGACAATCGCCCCCTGCCATGGACAGGAACACCTTTCCCTGGACCAGGTTACCCACAACCCCATCCAACCCGGCCTTGAACACTTCCAGGGATGGTACATCCACAACTTCTCTGGGAAAACTGTTCCAGAGCCTCACCACCCTCACAGTTAAGAATTTCTTCCCAATATCTAACCTAAACCTACTCCCTTTCAGTTTGGAGCCACTACTTTGTCCTATTTGTACATGGCCCTAAAGGAAGCCACTCTCCAGCTCTCTTATAAACCCTTTGTAGGCACTGGAAGATGGATTAATGCAATGAGGGCTCCCTGGTTATATCTGACCATTGTCCATAAGGCTGATTGATTTCGTTATCATGGAAAGAGAAAACAAAGGAAAGTGGATCAGTGTACAGTATCATGTATTCATTCCAATCGTCTGCATTTTGCTCCATACAATTGTCTTCTCCTTTGAGCGACTTCTCATCTGCTCTTTAGATTTGATGAATAATTTTACTCTGAAAAAAAATTAAATATGGTGAATCAGACTTTTTACAGATAAGATAATAAAATAGCTTCAATTCTACCCTCAAGTGACATCATGAAAATTAAAAAACACAGAAATTAGGTCTGCTAAATCAGGTTAATACAAATTGAGACCAAAATTCAAGTAGTTTGATTTTAATGTATGTTTTTGTTATTACACTGACACACACTAAGACTGTCTGAATGCCTTAACTGTGCATTTCTGTACCTTCCATTTCGTTTAGATTTAATTTTGACTTCAGAATTTGAGCAATTTGTTTAGAGGACAACTGTAACATAGCATTTTTTCTTAAGTTGTATTTTTAAATGATGACTTCAATTTTATTCCATTATTTTTACTGTATGTAAAATAGGTCCTTGTGTGTGTGTGTTTGTCTCTGGAGGTCTACAGAGTGAAGAATTTATTTTCAAACATTTTGTGAATAATTGTGTTAGTCTACCCAGTGCTTGATTCAGAATTCTTAGTGCATTTGAAATATTTAAGCATGTTAAAAATAAATCTAAATATCCCATTATAAACCATTTCAAGATCACAGTTTTGTAACCGAGAACAGAATAATATGATAATCTGGGAAAAAAAAATGCTGAGACAAAATGTGTGTAACATACTAACTTGAGTATACAATGAGAGTTTCCAGAAGCTGTTAGGCACACTGTGCTCTTCATGAGAGACAATACAGGATAAACCTGTGGCCTTTTCATTTATATGTTCCTTTCCCCTTACACAAAACTTTCTGATCTTTGGAGAATAATTAAACATAGTATATCAGAGTATGGGGAACGTTCCTTTTTCCTCCAAGAAGGAAGAAAAATTAAAGTTACTAAATCGAGTTACAGTCATAGAAACAATTCCTTCCCCAGAAAAAAGGACGAAAGAAATAAACAGGTCAGAACCTCAGCTGATGCCATTTTGAGTGATTCCACTGAAATGGCTGATAGACACATCCATTTTAAGGTGAAAAAAACCTATTACACCATCCTAGTCTGGCTTCCTGCATAATACAGACCAGAAATTTCCATATAGTAACTCTCATTGAGCTGGTAGATCTCTTGATTCACTTGATTTGGGTCTCTACTTTTTCAAAGATTAGTAGATTCTCTCCCTAGGAGGCAGAACATCATGAGATAGCTGCAGTACCTGATTCAATATTTGATTTGCAAAAAACATTTACAATTTTGGTCTGTGATTACTGTGAAGATGTCAATAGCTCCTTCTGACCTCTCAAGAATTGGTTTACTGCCAAAGTGAGAAGGACAGTGTTTCAAAGAAAATGAAAAACTTTTTGGAATCCCGAGCTGACAGTGACAAATGTCTGGATGACAAGGTCAAATGGTAGGTGTCTTTGTTACTGAATATAATGAAAGGTCACAAATGGGATGAGTTTCTGATTTTTAAGAGAATTTCAAAAGGAACTTTGTAATAAGATGTCAGAAAAAAAAGGAATAAAGAAGAAGCCTAGTCATGTATAGAAATAGAGAGTTCACTGCATAAATTACATGAGCAGTAGACATAGACAAAAAAGCAGAATGAAGAGATACAGAATTTATTTCTTGAAAGACCAGATGGGCCTCAATGGAAGGATTTGTTTTTTCAGTGTTTGGATTTTCTAAGCTTGAGATCAGTCTCTTTTTTTTTTTCCCTTCTCTGCACACTAGAATTCACAATAAGGAGAAAGTGCCATTGGCTTCAGATAAATGTGTGCTTGGTGTTTAAATAGACATAATAAATGTGGTTGGCTTAAAAATGGATTATTTGTGGTGGTAGAAGTCAAAAGTCATCGATTTACTTCATTGAGGTCATAGTCAGAGGAAGGAGAAGTTAGTTTTCAAATGAGAAACATGCTTATTCAAATTGTCTTAGTCCTGTTACACTGGTGAAGTTATTTTGAAGTATTTATAGGAATTTTAAGAAAAGGAAACTTTTTGAATTGTAATCTGGAAATAATGCTACAATGGCCTTGAAGGGCAGTTTGGAGAGAAGAAGTCAATGGCAAGAATGGATGACCTAGATTTTAGTAGGAGTTGGGCAATTCTGGATAGCCCATTCAAGGCCAAAGCCAATGAGCCAGCTGCTGCAAGCAGACTTGCCAAACGTCCTGACAAAATAAGAGACAATTCTGATTTTTTTTTTTTTTTGCAAAATCCCCCAGCATCCCAGTAAAAGAGTACAGGTTCCCATTTTTGCTGTAAGTCAAACACAACACACCTAAACATTTTAACGCAGCACACTGAAACCAACCCATTGGATACTGAAGGATCACACAGGAACCTGTCGAACTGCTGCCTGCTCCAGCTGGCTGTGTCACAGGGAAACTGTGACACTGTGTCACTGTGGTCCCCATTGTATTTGAAATTGAATCCAGTTTTCCCAGTGCCTAGAAAAAAGCCCTGACCATGGAGCTATTGTACTGGGGCAATGATACTGCTACCTGTCAGAGATAGCTCTCTGGCAGACACTTCTGCCTAATGCAAGTTTCCCTCAGAAATGATGAATTCTGCATTGTGTTCACAGGGTGAATGCAGAGAGATTTCTATTCTGTCCGATTTATTTTGTGTTTGAAGTTATTTTCCCATTCCTATGAATAATTCTTGGCTATGACCTTTTTCACAAGCAACTTATTGCAAGGCCTGAAATAGCTGTGGGACAGATTCTCCACTTGTTGAAGTCAGTTTTGGTGAACTATGCTGATTTAGGTTAGCTCAAAATTTATCCCAATGCATTTTGATAGGCCTTGACAAGTCAGATACTTAATTCTAATGCCTCATTGAAAAAGCAGACCCCTTAGAATGAGACCTTGGATGTAACGTATTATCTGGATGTTCATTTGCCTGCAATGTCCAGCTACATTTATTTAGGCATGACAGTAAGTAAGCCTAAAAGGGATGCACAGATACAGATGTGATTTAATTTAAAGTACTGGTATATCTAATCACTGAGTTTTCTGCTTTCATATCTAATCAGACCATATTAACAAGAGTTAGGGAAACAGGTAAATTCCTTTGTGCAGGATTATTTAAAATATAGGGAAGAGGAAGGAACCTTTAGTTAATTAGATTTTTCTTTTTATCCAGTATTTCAGTAATGCTGAGAAATAAGTCATTTCTGTAATGGAGTCATTTCTGTAGTGAGCAAAGAGCTCACTAGCCATCATCCTGAGCAGGAAGAAGATTTGGGAAACAGAAGTATCCTTGGGGCAGCCACAGTCCGCTGCCACATGCCACATTTTGCATGCAGTGGGGATGCACTGCTGTGTGCCCACTGTTAATTATATTCATCCTGCAAAGGACCACTAAGTCACTGTCATTACATGGCTGCTTTATATGCTCTGCTTATAGCTGTGTCTCTAGTTGTAATGCTGCTAGCAAGAGTGTGACAGAAAAAGCTGGACTGTGGGGGAGAGGTCTCCCTTACTTGCACCCATGCCAAGGATGCACTAATGGAAAAGGTGTTACCTGTTCCTTTTTTCTTAAGATCTGAGTCCCATGGCTGTTCTTCCTTGGTGCCCTTGTACCAGCACTGTTGTGTAATTGCTCCTGGGTGCTGGCCCTGATTTTTTCATTATTAATTTCCTGATGGGTATGATTATATCTATAGTAATTTTTTCCTGTTTGGAGGTTTATTTTAGCAATAGTGTGGTTGGGACAGATAAAAATGTAAAAAATCTCCTTTACTCAGAACTGCCTCTTGAACAGAACTGGAAGACATGTAAAAAGCGCATCCTTAATCTATTGTTTTGTGAAAGGCAATCTGTCAGATCTTTAACTGGACATCTGATGGCGGGAGGCAGAGGGATGACATTTAATACTGTCATCCCACAGACCTAAGGTGTGTGAGAATTTTATTAGGATTTTCTTTAATGACTTCAAGAGTCCTTATTCTTTCCTTATCAGCCCATCAGAGCTGAGGGCCTGCCTATGATATTCTAGCACTTCTGCATTAATGTTTTGGTCTGCTAGTCTCGTCTTTTCTAAGAAGGTATGGGACAGAAAGCAAATAATCCTGTTTTTTCATTTAGTATTATCTTTTTTCTTCATTAACACATAGGGGTTACAATTGTGTATTTGAACTTCCATTGCATTCATGTAGTGAATTTTTTTTTTATTGAACTGCTCTACTAGGAGTGGGTCAGCCTAATACAGCAAAAGCCAGTCCCCATAACTGATAAAGATTACAGTTATTGTAATCTGGGAAATTGTTAACAAATGGCCTCATTGCATCTAAAACAATGTATCTCACATATATTCCTTGTTCTCATAAGAACAGGCATCTTGTGTTGCCTACCAAGTCTAGGAATAAATTATATTCATCTAAGAAAAACTTCACATTTATTCTTAGTTCACTGATTTAAGAACATGACACACTACATATTGGAAATCTGTCTTTTTTTCTTTAAAAAAAGAAAATCTCCCAGGATTACTGTGAAACATACTGTATAGAAAAGTATTTTCTCACTTCCTGATGAGTCTTATCATTTAAAAGTCAGGTCATGAGTTTTAGACTTATGTGCCTGCCTTCAGAGAGCTAAATAAAAGTTTCTTGCTTTTCGGAGATGCCCACAACAATAAATACCTCCACTGATTTAATTAAGCATTATGATACTTAGCAACTCAGAAGAATTCAGGTCTACCATAATGTGGGTGTATAATATGGCTCCAGGCATTCACAGAATAAAAAATTAATGTTAGCTTTAAAAACTGCGTAAAAAAGAGTGAGAGTAACAGTTTTGGCCAATCCCCTTCATCCCCATTTCCAGTGAGCATTTAACATGGTCTGAAAGTTAAGCACTATTAGGAAGAAGGAGGCCTAGGGGAGCACTACTGCACTGACAAGTTAATAAACTGTCGGCAGTATAATCAGACTGTTACAGCACAAAACTGAGAATGTGGAAATACAAGTTCTAATCTTGACTTGATGTGTGGCTTCGGCAAAGTAATTTCAGTCCCTCCTTTCAGTTTACTAGCTAATAAACAGAGAACAGTAAGTTATTTTGAGGATGCTGTGATATCTAATTAATTTTAGTCAAGTAAGCATTTTGAAAACTGACCATACTAAGCACAATTTTCTACTATTTTCTACTACTACTAGCAAAAGTAAAAGACAAATCAATTAAGTGTGAGGTGTCTCTCTCCAAGCTTTCAAATATATTCAGGCTCTTGCTATATCCAGTTTCAAATGGAACTCACCAACCTGACACCTTTTTGGATTTAAGTATCTACTTCAAAATGAAATGAAAACTCCCCCAAACCTTCCTCATAGTGTTGTTGTGACACATTAAAAACGGAGAGATTTTTTAACAGAGGAATCTATGACTCTACACTTACCAGTCTTTTTCTCTGTTTTTGAATATTCAAAAGACTGGCTTTCAAAAGGTTGGTTTTTTCAAACTTTTTTAGCTCTATAGAACGGTAAAACATGTCTGTTACCTGTAACATGTGAAAGTATTGGACAGTTACCTTTGTGATAATAAAATAAATGTTTGAATTACATACCCGGGCTTTAGAATCAGTGCTGAGAAAAAGGAGAACTTACTTTCAGCATCTCTGTTTGAAGGTTTGCATTCTGGAGACTATCAGGACACCACAAAGGTCACCAGGTCATCAGCTTCATTGAATTAAACCTGAGGTTCCATAAGATGAACAAGAAATCCATTCAAACTGTAGATTTTCTGAATCTGTGGAATACAAATTTTAAGTATTTTCTGTTTGAGATAAATCTTAACAGTTTTTTCCCAAGAATTCTGTATTCATTGTCATATCCTCATGATTACCTCTTTTTACCTAATCTGCCCATTAAAAATGTATCCTGCCCAAGGTCTCAAGACTTTGTGCTTCCAAAAACCACATAGTGAAGTGTTTTTTCTTTTGTGACTAAATTTCAGTGAAATAATTTTAGTTTTAGGGATCATTATAGTGATCTAATACTCTTCAAGTAATTTATGAACTTGAAATATGGGAAATAAATTCTCAGTCTTATATGAGAGGCATAGGCTGGTACAAATGATCACCATATTCTTGGGGGTGGAGGTGCTGAATATAGGAATGTGTTCCGTGGCTAACTCAAACCTATGGTTGTTGCTACACTCATGGCTTACCTCCAACAGTATTCACTTAGTATTAGAAAGTTAAAGCCTATTTTAAGCATGACATTTGAGAAGCCAGTGGTGTTAAACTAGATACCCAAGTAGCAGAAGGAGCATCAAAGTCTTTCAGAAGATGCAGATTTTAACCTGTGTCACAGACAAAAACAGACAGATTTTGTTTTGAGAGAACTTCAGGAAAGAATTTAATTAAATTAAGCATTTGCTTAAACTTGGACCAACTGTTTAAATGATGGCATAAGTAACTGATATTATCTATAATAATCTCCTAGTTTGATTTCAAGATGGACTTTAAATAGCAGTGTCAAAATACTGGAATAGGGCAGTTTCTGTTGATATTTCAGCTCTACCAAAACAAAAAAAGTAGAGTTCGCATGAAAATGTTTATTTGCGTGCCAGCCTTGCTATTTGACATTAGAGATGTGGATCATTCAGGTGCACATAAAGATTTACAGTTATTTATCTTTGTCCAAATCTTTTGATTGCCACGATATTTTCAATAATACTTTCTGACTGTGCATTTTTACTACATTTCGGTTTTTAAAAATTTCTGAACCATTGCAATACTTTGCATTTTAGCAATGTTGATCTCAGACTACAGGGTTTTGAATACCCTCTCCTCTCATGGTCTGGTCTTCAAAAGAGACAAGAACGAAGCACTACAAAAAGAGGTATTGTGCTGACAGAAATTAATGGAAGACTGTAGCACAGCCAATTGTCTTTCTCAGCAAGTGTGTGCACCACAAACACTCCATCCTACCAAGTTGCATAATGTAGACATGAAAAGCTCCATTCACTCTGACCTCTTCTGCTTACTTCATTAGAACATACAAGTGAAAAGAACCTCCATGTTTAAGTAAGCCCAGTGAGCATTATTATGGGTCACTGTATCACAAAATTGTCCTAATAAACTAAACAGCCTCCTCAGAACATCCCTGCTACTTTTAGTGAAAGGATGTTTTAGGACCTTTCTGCTATCATAATTGGAAATGTTTGACCCATCTCTACCCTGCACTTACCAATGACCAGTTCAGATCCACATAAGATTCTTCAAGCCCTAGTATGACCTCTTTCACATCCTCTGCTCAAATGTACAACCTTAAATTTAATATGCAACAGTATTTCAACTTCATTTTCAAATGAAGGTTCTTTATTCTACTTCTGAATAGCAAAAAATTTGAATAGTTTCAAAACAAAAACTCATAAGTACTGCAATGGTATGTTCAAGCACACCATGCCTCCTACTCTTCCTTCTCACTTCAAGTTTCAGGCATCAGATTCTGTTACCCTTCCCCTTGAGGCACCAAACACACATTTAACTTGTGATATTTTTTTTACATGTACACTGTGATCAAGTGACCTTTCAACAAACCAGTCTCCAACCTTATTACACATGGGGTCTTTTGCAGGTCTTTGGGCCACTGCTTCATGGGTATCTTTTTGCATATATTCCAGCTTTTTGTAATCCTTCAAATAATACAAACTCTCACAATATAAAAATATTTTGGAATCAATACATTGAATGCTGTAGGTAGAATATAATTCACATTCATACACTCCTCTACCCTGTTCATTGTCATGGTTTAACCCCACCCATCAACTCAATCCCACACAGCCACTCACTCTCCCACAGTGGCATGGGGAAGAGAATTGGAAGGGTAAAAGTGAGAAAACTTGTGGCTTGAGATAAAGGCAGTTTAATCAGTAAGGCAAAAACCATTATGCCAGCAAAGCAAAACAAGGAATTCATCCACCACTTCCCCTGGGCAGCCAAGAGTGTCAGCACCTCCAGGAAAGCAGGGCTTCAACATACATAATGGCAACTTGGAAAGACAAATGTCATTGTTCCAAATACCCCCTCTTCCTTCTCCTGCCACCCAGCTTTATATGCATGACACCATATGGTATGGGGTATCAGCTGTGGTTAGTGGAGCTCACTAAAAGAGCTTTAAACTAGAATTGAAGGGTTAAAGGGATAAAAATCAAGCTTGCTAGAGAAAAGCCTGAAGGCAGCATGTCAGTGTTTGAGGAACCATGTGCTAGCATGGTCCTTCAGTCTCAGTGAAGGTAGGGATGGAGATCCATGTGGGAGCAAAGACAGAAGAGTTATTGATTCTTGAAAACACAGAAGTGCCTGAGAACAGTCACGTAGGAATTAGCATTTCTCCTGCCAAAAAAGTAGCAAGGTCAATAGTCCAACTGAAGTGCATCTACAGCAATGCCTTCAGAGTGGACAACAAGCAGGAGGAGCTGAAAGCTGCTGAGAAGCAGGAAAACTACGACATAGTTGCCATCACAGAAACATAGTGAGATTACTCACATGTCTGGAATGCTGCTATAAATGGTGGTTATAAACTCCTCAGAAGGGGTAGGCAAGGAAAGAGATGCGGTGGTGTAGCCCTGTATGTTAGGGAGTGGTTTGGCTTAATGATGCTGATGAAAATGTTGAGTGTTTATAGGTAAAAATCAGAGAAAGGCCAACAAGGTAGATATCATGGTGGGAGTCTGTTACAGACCACTCAACCAGGATGAAGAGACAGATGAAATATTCTGTAAGCATCTGGGAGAAGTCTCATGATTGCTAGCCCTTGCTCTCCTGGAGGACTTCAACTTGCAAGATGGCTTCTGAAAGCACAACACAAAGGAAAAGCACCTGGGGGTGCTGGTCAACAATTAGCATGTCCAGAGAAGGGCAACAAAGTTGGTGAAGGGTCTGAAGCACAAATCCTATGAGCAGTTGCTGGAGAAGGTGAGGGTGTTTAGTCTGGAGAAAATGAAGCTCAGAGGAGACTTTATCACTCTACGACTACCTGAAAGGAGGTTGTTATGAGGTGGGGGTCTCTCTCTTCTTCCAATTAACAAGCAAAAGGACAAGAGGAAATGGCCTCAAATTGTGCCAGGGGAACTTTATGTTAGATATTAGGAAAAGTTTCTTCACGGGAAGGGTTGTCAAGCTTTGGAACAGGCTGCCCCAGGAAGTGATGGAGTCACCATCCCTGGAGGTATTTAAAAGATATGTAGACATGGCACTTAGGGACGTGGTTTTGTCATGGACTTGGAGTGGTGGATTAAGTGTTGAACTTGATGATCTTAAAGGTCTTTTTCAAAATAAATGGGTCTATGACTATATGATTCTATAAAATCTTATTTCTATAAAACATTTCTATAAAATGTTAATATCAGTTTCCATATGGAATCCAGGTATCTTATTAAGAAGACCATTTTTAAACACTGGTCTCCAAAATATATCTTTAAAGATGAAAAATTTACATTAATTCTCCCATATCATATTATTTGTGGTCTCACTGTACTGATCTTTGCTCCAGAACTTTCATCCAAGTAAAGTATAGGATCGTTTAGAGCTGCAGCTCTGTCCCCTGCTGCTTCACAACAATTTTAGACTCTGTATGCCACCCTCTTTACATATGTTTTTCAGGTGTCTGCTAATCGACCTTTAGCTCTGAAGCAACATGGCAGCAAATGAGAAGTCACTGGAAGGTTCTTGTTTTGGGTAAAGTCTTTGCCCCAGTGACTTTACGGCAGAGCTGAGATTTAGAATTTTATTGCATTTCTGTGAAACAGGTTTTGCAGTCAAATCCCACTCTTTTCTCTTCCCCCTCCCTTTCCCCTTCCCCTTCAAATGAAAGGTTTAGGTATTAAGCCTGAAGTTGCAGCCCAGCCCCCACCTATCAGCTGTCACAGTGTATTTAGATGTGTGGCACACTTCTTTTATGGTCAGATATGTAGATCTGTTGTCTGCCTCCCACCTCCCTTCCAAAGTGCACTGTTCTGGTATTGATGGTGTCACACACTTTAGCTCAGTGGTCCCAGCATACCAAGTTATCAAGAACAGTTTTCATCACTATCTCATTATCAATAATTAGGGCTCCATCAGGCCAAGTTCATGAAGAGTGTTCCCACATTGGACTGCTTAGTTAACCTGGAGTCAAAGCTTGTCTTCTTCTATGGCAATTAAATCCAGGGGGAGGGGGCTAAAATCACTAGATACAGAATGATAATGTGAATGAGTAGGTACACTTGTCCTATTGAAGATGGTAGGAAGACTTCAGGGTCCATGGAGCAAAAAGAAATAATTAACTCAAGGCCATGAAGATGTTGCCTTGTTTTTATAGGATATAGAAAGTGAGTAAATTATAAAACTCAGTCCCATAGGGGCTTTGCTGTCAAACAGATTAATGCCATCAGAACTTTTTCTGAAGTGCAACACTTTCCAGTTAATTGCAAAAAATAAGAGTCATTGAATGAGTCAGATGGAGTGGAAGGCCTAAAGGTTGCCTGAGTCCATCCCATATTCAGAGAAGGGATGACTTCAGATGTAGATTGCTCCCCCAGTTTGGCATCACCCTTCACCTTGCTTGAGCTGCTGTCTGTCTGATCTTTCCCCTCAGTGATGAAAACATTTTACAATCTCAGCCCCAGTGCCAAACCCTGAGTAGAAGCAATGGGGGAGGAAGCAGAAGTTTGTCTTTCCCATTGCGTGTCTTCAGTAAAGGACTCATCAGGACTACAGGCGACCTCCATCCAAAGCCTTTCTCCAAGTGACAGATGCAAAGCATGTAGTGTGAGATTCCTCTTCTTCAAGATGCATAAAAAGAACCTAGAAGGTTAGAGCACTTATGGTGAATTACTGAACTAGAGCAAAAACTGAAACCTGAAAGCTTTTTCTAACTTGTAGCTACACTACAGAAAATAGCATAATGAAAGTAATTTGAGGCATACAGAATCTTGAGCATATAAAAGCCTTCTATACATTTACAAGCTTAATCCAAATGTAAATGGTATAATTTTTCTCATAAAATTAATTCTAATGGGCAACACAATTTTCCTAATACTGATTCTATTAGTATTAATATTTCTGTAATACTTTCAGATTGATGTCTAGAAACAAAAATTATTATTGTGGCCTTAAAATCCAATTTTCAGAAAAGCCTATTCCTCTAAAATCACAAGTATTATATCTGCAAAATAAACAGAAATAATCATCTTGATTTCCTGAGTAGTTCCATTGAAATCAATCTCTGTGACTGCATGCATGCTTAAGAAAAGAAACACCCTAGTGCTCTGCTGAAGAGAAGCTAAATTACCAATAAGCACAGTTCAGAT